CCCTATATCCCCACCAGAAAAAAATAAAAACAGCTAACCCATGAGTGCAGCTCTGAATTTAATCCCCAGTTCCACCAAAAATAGAGCATGTATATTATCATTCATTAAATTTTCTAAGTCATAAGAATGCTAGAAAACAAATATCTTTATAAACAAGAATAACCAGTTAGAACACAATAGGAAAAAACTCATTAGAAATAAATGAGGGGTTGGAGGGTGGCTTGGCGCTGCACGTGACCGATAGACATTAAACCCAAGGCCTCCACACGTGCTCAACATTCACCCTACACCCTCAGCACTGAAAACAGAAATTGTTAAAAATAGATGACACCTAGGAATAAACTCTCATGCAAGCTCTACAGTTATACAACTGCGAACATTCCTGAAATGATGAAAAACTTCACCAACTGAAGTCAAACCTCTATTTGGATAAAAATCATAAGGAAAACAAAAGACAAACGCCTGAACCTGGACGCAAAAGGTGCCAGCCTGTAGTCCCAGCTGCTCAGAAAACTGAGACAGGAGGACAACTTATGCCCCGAACTTTAAGGCTAGCCTGGACCCTCTTCCATAAAAAGAAAACAAAAAGCAACAACAAATATGAAATAACTCTACTCCGAAGAGAAAAAAAAAAGCCAGGGATAAAGCTCAGTGGCAGGCACCTCTAGGTCTAATTCCTAGTGGAGAGGTGGGGAGAAGAACCATAAAGCAATTAACAAAGAAAGGACAGGCTGGGCAAGGTGGCACACACTCCAGTAATCTCAGCAGAGCTCAGGAGGTTGAGGCAGAAGTGCAAATTTAAAGCCAGCCTCAGCAATTTAACAAGACCCCAAGCAACTTAGCCAGACCCCGTCTCTAAATAAAATATAAAAAACCCGCTGAGAAAGTGGTTCAGTGGTTAATCTACCTGGAGTTCAATCCACCAGGGGCCCCAAAAATATAAAAGATAAAAATACAAAATGTTTACTACCACTCAGGTGCTGAACAGAATGCAAAGGAAATCTACCTACAAAACCGGCAGAAATGCAAGGACTGGCAACCCTGTTTATGGACCTTGCTGACCCAGTGATTCCACTTCCAAAAACTCATTTTGAAAAGTTAGGGCCAATTCAACAAATATATTCCAAAAACTCGCTTAAAGAAGAGCAAATAAAGTGGGCAAACTGGCTCATGAGTATGATCCCAGGTACTCAGGAGCGCGAGCCTTCAGGATACCAATTTTAGGCCAATCTCAAGCAAGTTAGTGAGACCCTGTTGACTCACAATAAAAAGTAAAATAATAAAAATGGGCTGAGGGGGCTGGGGTTATGGCTCAGTGGTAGAGCGATTGCCTACCATGTGTGAGACAAGGAGTTCAATTCTCAGCACCACATATAAACAAATAAAATAAAGTTCATTGACAACTAAAACTATATTTTCAAAAAATGGGCTAGAGATGTAGCTCAGCGATAAAGTAGTCCTAGGCTCAATCCCCATTAGCAAAAATAGTTTAAACAAACAACAGCAGACTACTATGAGGAAATATCGGTACACTGGCTCATTCAGGCTTCTCAAACAAAACCCCACTGCATCTCTATCTTACAAACAACTATTTTTCTTACCGTTTTGCAGGGGTAGAAGTTGGAGATTGAAGACTGCTTCCAAATTGCTTAAGACACCTTCCTGCAGGCTCCTCACAAAAGAGAGAATCACTTTGGGACTCCTTTATATAGCCACATCCATATCCTGGGGTGTGGATTCTACCCTCATGGTCGAAGGCTCCTCCCCCTAAGAGATAAGTTTCAGCACACTAATGATACACTTAGGTGCCACCATTCACTCAGCAACATAGTGAAGCCCTAAGCAACTTTGCAAGACCCTTCTGCAAGAAAGAGCAGGCTGCCTCTAAATTTAGTGGC